GTCATTATTAATTTTTAATAAATTCGGATGGAGTGTGATATATTATTACACTTTGTTCGATTTGGATGAATATTTGGGACTAAAATTATGGCTGCAATATTAGAAACAAAAATATAAAAACATAAACTGCCAGTAAAAAGTTCAGAATTATAGTTTAACATAGTAAAAAATAATATTGTAGCTAAAATGAATTTTGAGTATTGAATTTTACTATTGGTCCCAAATTTTCCCAAAAATTGTATTAAATTTGTAATTTTGTAAAAAACCCAAACTATTTAATCCTATAAGTTAATGAGCCAGTAACTTAGTAGTAATTAACTGAAAAACTAAACAAATCCCTTCAATTACTAAAATGGTCCTAAAAACTACACAAAACGACCTAAATCAACTTAGGGAAATTTTTAAAGTGTTTTAAGCTAGATAAAAAAAATAGTTAGCAAAACACTGTAATAAAAATTATCATTAATTGTAAATAATAATATAATATAGGAAAAATATTTATACGGGGTTTTGAACATAAATCACGACACTTATACTCTGAAAAAAATAGTTTGTAAGAATTTTTATGTACATAATACTCTAAATTTATTTTGAAAAGCACTGAATGATTTTCGCACGCAATTCGAATTTGTTTTGGTCGAAATCAAGTGTAAAGACTGTCTAAATTTTTTTGGGGATGAAAATGTGTATATTGTTTAATGTTAGTGCCATATACCAAAGGATTTTTAATTTAAATGGACACAGGAATTTTTACATGACATACTAATGTATGGGAAAAACTTCTAGTAGCTTGGACTTAGATTTTCTTCTATGCCATGACTTTTCTTACATTTTACCAAATAACTTTTTACACCAATTTGGTATTTGGACACCAAAATCTACACAAAATTGTCTTTAAACCTGCATAAACAAATATCAGTTATCACAATTTATTATCATATAAACCAGATTCAAAAAAGTCCATTCTAAAAGCACTTTAACTAGTATTATTATTCTATAAAGCAGTATGTTGTGTGTGTGAATGTTTTTTTACGTAAATTAAATATATAAATAAATATATTGAAGAGTATGAGGTGCCAATTTAATACACTTATTTAATACTAAAAACGCGTTGTATGTCCGACTGTCCGTCTGTCTGTTTTTTTGTGTAGGAAGGAAATGTTTTTAGCTGATGGAAAAATAAAAAAAACGACTCCAATATGGTTCCAAAAATGTTAAAATTTTGCACAAATATTTTTAAAGGTGTGTTTAATATGCTGAAAATTTTAAACTAATATTTTCTTATTATATATTCATTTTTGTTAATTTTCAAAATCGTCTAGTGTTTTGGTATACTTAAAATTATAGGTCGGTGCAAAAAATGTGCAAGCACTTTTTGAAATATTTATATCTACTCTATTTGAACTCCAAAATTGTCAAAATATGGGACAAATATTTTTAAAAGTATTCTTTAAATACTAAAAATATGAAACTGTTGTGTCATCAATATTTGTTTAATTTTTTTAGTTTCTAAAATCGTCTCTTATTTGTATACGAGTTGCAAATATCACTGTATATTGCAAAAAATGTGCAAGCACTTTTTGAAATATTTTTATCTACTCTATTTTAACCCCAAAAAAGTCAAAATTTAGTACAAATATTTTTAAAAATATGCTTTAAATACCAAAAATATAAAACCATTGTTCTATCAATATTTATTTAATTTTTTTAGTTCCCAAAATCGTCTATTATTTGTATACTAAAAATTTGGTGCAAAAATATGCAAGTACTTTTGAAAATATTTATATCTACTCTATTGTAACTCCAAAATAGTTAAAATTTGGCACAAATATTTTTAAATGTATACTTTAAATACCAAAAATATAAAACCGTTGTTTTATCAAAATTTGTTTAATTTTTTCAAGTTTTAAAATCGTCTATTTTTTGCATATTATAAATTATATGAGTCTGTGCAAGCACATTTTGAAATATTTATATCTACCCTATTTTAACTCTAAAAAAGTCAAAATTTGGCACAAATATTTTTAAAAGTATAGTTTAAATGCCAAAAATATAAAATCATCGTTTTATTAATATTTGTTTGATATTTTTAATTTCTCAAACCGTCTATATTTGTATACTAAAAATTTGGTGCAAAAAATATGCAAACACTTTTTGAAATATTTATATCTACTCTATTTTAACTCCAAAATAGTCAAAATTTGGCACAAATATTTCTAAAAGTATACTTTAAAAACCAAAAATAAAAAAACATTTTTAAAATTGTTATTAGTCTATTTCCATCAGCTTTTAACAAATGCAAAGTTATATATATATAAAAAATTGCATATATTAAATGTTTAAGGAACTTAATATTAAACATAATGATGTATTTAATGAAAATGATAAAAATTAAAATTATATAATTATAATTAAGTTAGAATTAACGTTCGTACGTCTAATATGATATTATTATAAGTAAGGATATATATAAATATAAATATAAATAAATAATAATAAATGACAAAATATATGAAAATAATATATTTGTTCGATTGGTTTTGGTAGGGTGGAAAAAATAGCGAAAAAGTCTGTAACTTGTTTAATTTAAATTTGAATTATTTGGAATTTTGACAAAATATAGCTGATAGTATATATTTTTGGGCAAAAATATGCAAAAAAATATTTTTTGATTATTTGTATTTTTTTTTTAAATCACAATATTGGATATATAATTCTGTATGCATTCAGTATCACATTGTATACTTGTTCAAAAATTTGTATCTTCTTGAATAAATTTTCAAAAAATTTGAAACTTGCACATAATATAGCTGAATGTGTATATTAACAAATAAAAATACAAAATAAACAATTTTTGGGACAAATTTTAAATAAAACAGCTTAGACAATATGCACGAAGTTCTAATACATTACAGTCGTTTTCTTATTACAATCGCTATTTTTTTCGTTTATATCGAAAATCAATCGAATAATCGATAATTTGTAGTCGCTAAGTGTCTGCACCGTGTATACCTACATCCAATTTAATTTTTTTGACGATATAAATCCTTAAAACGTTTAATTTTCGATTTTATTCACGCCACTATCATCGTGTACCAGTTTGTGTGTTGAAGAGAAAATTTCACTTTTATGAAAAAATTAGTAAAAATTTCATAAAAAATAGAGGAAATTGTGATTTGTTGATTTCGTGAAACTTTTGTGAAATTTTTGCATAAATTTTGCATTTGCAATAATTTTTGGAGTGATTTTCATTCACGTCTGTGTAGAAATGTGTGGTTGTTGGACGATACAAGATGTTTTGTTGGAAAATAATTAAATTTTTCGGTATTTTAGAAAGAATTTAATAATTTCAGATATTTATGTGTATTGACATAATAAATAATAACATTTTTTATCAGTGAAATGTAAAATTTGGATGAAATTTACATGCAAAACTGACAATGCAAATCGTATTTGAGGACACTTTTGTAGTATTATTTTTATAACTTTTGTTTTAACTAGCAAAGACTAACTTTTTACTAAGTCTACGTAAAATTTATAACAATTTTGTGAAATTTAAATTTTTTAAAAAGTTTTAGGAAAATTCTACAAGCTTTTGAAAACAACGTTTCATAATACAAACGTTTGCAATATTCAAGTCGTGTTTTCTCGTAAAATTGTTAAAAATTTGAAAAAAATTCATATTTAATTTATTATTGCAAATTTCTTCAGCTACAATATTGTTGAATTAATATTTATCATATCTACAACTTTTATAAAGATAAATAAATAAAACCGATACTGAAATTTGTTATAAATAATTACTAGAAAATTTTAGTTCAAATGTAATTTTTCAAGTCGTAATTTCTCGTAAGTTTGTTAGAAATCTGAAAAAAAATTCATATATAATTTTTTGTTGCAAATTTTTTGATCTACAAAAATGTTTAATATATATTTATCTTATCTATAACGGTTGTAAAGATAAATAAATAAAACCAGTAATATAGCCCTGAAATGCGTTATAAATAATTTCAAGAACATTTTGGGACAAGTGTAATTAATAAATAATTTCAAGAATATTTCAAGTCGTATTTTTTCATAAAATTGTTAGAAATTTAGAAAAAACTCATATATAATGTTTTGTTGCAAATTTTGTTTGCTACAAAATTGTTGAATAAATATTTATTAAATCTCTAACGGTTATTAAGATATATAATAAAAACCGGTGGCAGTCCTAATTTAAATTAAGGAATTTATATAAAAATTTTATCAAAATATTTTGTATCGTCCAACAAGCCCAAATAAAAATATAAACAATAAATAAATTCCAATTGTAAAGTCAATTACCGTACAAAAATAATTGTACAATTAGTTTTATGTTTATTATTAAAATAACCAAGATTTATGTAAAATATATAAACACCAAAGATGTAAACTAATAAATACTCTCTACTCATTTATATATATATATATATATATATATATATATATAAATGAGAATTATATACTGTACCAGACTATTTTATAATTTAGTTTGTAAACCCACGAATGTTTTTTGATTTTTATAAATTGCATTTTACATGTAGTTCACTTGAATGAAAAAATACAAACAAATAAACTGTAATTATTGATATGAAAAATAATTCAATGACTTTTATTATAACATTTAATTATCTATATATATATATATACATAAAATTGATTATGAACCTTTAGAATTTTCAGGCAAAATATGAATTTTCTACAGTTTTTTATTTTCTACAGTAGTTTCTTTAAAATTTCATGGAATTTTTTGTAGCTTTTAATATAATATCTTTTAAATTGTATTTTTAACAGGTAGTTCTTTATATTTTCAATATTCTATACGAGTTTATGGAAATTTTTACTTATAACAATTTTATATTATTATATTCAAATTTTTCAAATTTGCCGCCTTGCCGCTATTGGTTTGAATCTTCGCTATTAGTATCTAGTAGTTCGCTTACTTCACGTCGTTTGAAATGTCAAAACAACAAATGACAGCAAAATTTTTATTTAATAAAAATTAAATAAAACTTGTGATAAAATTAGTAAAATTATATATTGCAAAGCTGTGTATTATGCCTGCAAATCAAATACAATATTCGGAAAAATATATGGACGAACAATATGAATACAGGTAAATAAAAATATAAACTAACCTCAAAAATTTAATTGAAATAAGTAATTGATACAGATTTTGTTGGATAAAGTGCATACAAGTAGTTAAATATTGTTTAAATGTAAATCATGTTGTATGGGTATGCCTTTTTGAGCATATTTGTTATTGTTAAAGTATATGTGGTACTTTTGATATAACTAACCTCAAACATCAATGTTTTGGATCGTTTCTTACAAATGGTAAATAATTTTTACTTTATAAAGTATAATGATATAAAACTATATTGCATATATAGTTATAATCAATAAGTATGCTATTATTTGCAAAAAGCTATTAATCGTGTCATCGACAATACATTTTTGTTTGCACATGTAAATATATGTATATATATATATATATATATATATATATGTATGTATTTATCATGTGTCTTTTACCCCAGGCATGTGATCCTACCAAAAGATCTAGTCCGTCACGTGCCCAAGACTCATTTAATGTCCGAGACCGAATGGAGAAACCTGGGAGTTCAACAAAGTCCAGGTTGGGTTCACTATATGATGCACAATCCTGAACCCCATGTCCTACTTTTCAGAAGACCCAAACCCGATGAGAATAATGCCGGTGAAGTTTTGCTGGCATATTAAATAATTATTATGAATAATGTGATGAGACGAGTGATTGTACTAAGAATTTTTTTTAGTATGTGGGAAGGAGGTTCTAAGCAATGTTAATATATATAAATAGATATTTATTTTGATTTGTAGATTTTGTATTTAAAGATGTGATTAAAGTATTTTGATTTATTATGTTAGTTTTTCTATAATGATAAAAAAAATACTCAATGAAAAGAAAAATTCAAAACAAGGATTAGGATGAATAAAAAAACGAAATTACAGCTGTGCAGTAAATACAATGAATGAGAAATAACAACAACAAATAAATAACAATAATAATAAATAATAATAATAATAAATGAACATCATATGAATGAGAAATTAAACAATGAGTAAGAACAATAATACAATAAATATACAATTTGAAAATTATATTAAGAATAAAAATTATACAATGAATAATAAAATATACAATACAGAAATAAATAATGCATTAAAAATATACACTGCATAAATAAATATACACATTCATATTTCAATATAAAACAATATAAATAAACTTTAATTATTATTTAAAATTGATTATTTTCTCGGCCAATGTAAATACCACTTATTTCTCAAGTTCGATAATAAAGAAAGAAAGAAAGAAATTATGTTGAATTTTTATAAAATTTATATCAAACTGAGTTAAATACTGTTTCTTTATATATATTGAATAATATATTTGAAGATATATTCAAGGAAAAAATACAATAAATGATATAATTTGAGAAAATAAAACATATACAATAAATAAAAAAAAATCAATGAATAAAATTGCAAAAAATACAAGAAATAACAAAAAATATATACAATAAATAAAAAATTATGTTTAAAAAAATATGAATAATTTAAAATATATATATTTAACTACAAAACTAATATACTTTATTTTCGAAATAAACAGTTGAGATTTTATTTAAATTCTGAATTATTAATTATTAAATTTTTATTAATATTAAATTTACCAAAACATTTTTGTACATTTCTTATATTATTGTCTATACTTATTTCAAATATTACTAAAATAAAATATCCAAAAATAAAAAGATGCAGTTTTTAGAATTCTTTTAGAGTATTATATTATCTAAAATAAATTAATTTGCATTTAAAATAAAATTAAAAGCATAAGTAAATATCCATGAAATAATATATGTGAGTACATTTCTTCACATTTTTATTTATATTTTAAAAATTACTTAAAATATCTAAATGTAGTCTTTAAAATTTATAAAAATATTAAATTATCTTAAGGCAAAATGCCACTTACACCTGGTTTAAACAAAATAATCGTTATTTTGAAAAAAAAATGTAGCGCAATAAAAAAAACATATAATTTTGTAGAATTTAATATAAACTTATAATAAAAAATTTTTTTGGGTAAAATAATGGGCAAAAATAAATAAAGTAAGTATTTGCATATAAAAAAATATTTTATATAAAATTTTAATATAATTAAACATTATATATATATATATATATATATATATTATTTATATATGCAAAAAATCAGTGTACAACAATGTTATCAGAAAAAGATTAAAGAGAGCTTATCAGCATCTTAATTAAACATGCTTTTGTATTTATCAAGATTTAATTATTATTAGTCCTATGTTAATATGTATATTCCCCAACATCCATTATGAAAATCTAATAAATTAAAAATGTCTTTTATTAGCTGACCATTATTAAAATAAAGTTGTCTTTGTTTGTTTAGGTAAGTCCACCATTGGACTCTTATCAGAGTAACACAACTCTACAAATATAATAATTTATAGGAATATTTCTAATAAATATACATAGTGGAATTAATTAATTATATTGTTAATATGTTGTGGACAAGATGATTAAAAGTTTTAGTGTTAAATTAATATTAAAACAGTGCGGATGAAATTTGCAGATTTTGAGGTTAGGTTTGTACATCAGCTGTTAAGTGTCAAAAATTATTTTTATTTTGGGTTTAAAAGAATTTTGCCGTGACCTAGATAATAAAATATATATTTAAAATTGTTTGTAGCACTCAAATAATACAGAAAAATGGTTGTTTTATATACATAACGGGTATTTTACTTAATACAGGAATTCTTGTATCTGGTATGAGATTTTTTTACATTTTTTTTTTTCAGATTGTATGAAGTATTTAAGAAGTTTTGATGTCCAAACAAGATGAAATTTGCAGAACATTTGTCAGCACATATTACTCCAGAATGGAGGAAACAATATATAAATTACGAGGTAAGATAATTTTGTACCTAGATAGATCTACGATGGAATTTAATTTGTACCTAGCTTTACTGACCGTTGAAAAAAAGTGGATTGAATTACTATTTGTTATTGAAATCTAAATGCTGTCTGTAAGAGATCTAATAGTTTTTTATTTTTGTGCTTTATATTTTTGTATATCAATAGTCCTAAAAGCATTCTAAGAAATTTAATTAGTACCTAGCTTTACTTGACCGTTGAAAGAAGATGTATTAAATTACTATTTGTTATTGAAACCTACGTGTATTCTAAATGCTGTCTTTAAGAGATCTAATAGTTTTCCATTTCTTTGCTTATTGACTTTATATTTTTGTACATCGATAGTCCTAAAGGCATTCTAAGAAATTTAATTAGTACCTAGCCTTACTGACTGCTGAAAGAACATGCATTCAATTACTATTTGTTATTGAAACCTTTGTGTATTCTAAATGCTGTCTTTAAGAGATCTAATAGTTTTTTTATTTTTGTGCTTATTAACTTTATATTTTGTACATCAATTGTCTTAAAAGGGATCCAAGGAATTTAATTAGTACCTAGCTTTACTGACCGTGTATTGAATTACTATTTGTTATTGAAACCTTCATGTATTCTAAATGCTGTCATTAAGAGATCTAACAGTTTTTTATTTTTGTGCTTTATATTTTTGTATGATAGTCTTAAAGGGATTTGGTGGAATTTAATTAGAACCTAGCTTTACTGACCATGTGAATTCGTATATTTATAGACAAAATATAAGAGCTTATAAATAGGACGATGTTTATATATGTTAATGAAGGACCTTATCTCATATCTCTATTCGTGTTTTGTTTCAGGAAATGAAAGCAATGTTATATACTGCTGTAGAGGAGGCTCCTGCAGCAGATTCCGTAGAACCAGAAGTGTTGGCTAGACATTTTGCACATTTCGATGAACAGTTTTTCCACTATTGTGATAATGAACTTAAGAAAATTAATACTTTTTACTCAGGTATATGATAATGATAATAAATATATATATATATATATATATATATATATATATATATAAGAAATAAATTTATTTTTTTATTTGCAGAAAAACTTGCCGAAGCCACCAGGAAATTTGCTGCTTTGCACACAGAGTTAAAAGCATCTTTAAGAGTGAGCTTTTTTCTATATATTTATATATATATATATATATATATATATATATACATATGTCAATTACATTTTTTCCAGATGGGTAGCAATAAGAGCAAGCGAGAAACAGCAAAAAAGGCCCTCTTGCCATACCGCAAAGTCCAGGAATTAAAATTGGCTTTTAGTGAATTCTATTTATCTTTAATATTACTCCAGAATTATCAGAATTTAAATCATACGGGTTTCAGGAAAATACTCAAAAAACACGATAAGGTAATAAAAACATTAAATATAAATTATGCAGCTTTTTGTATTCTAAGTGTTTTTATTTATTTTTTTTGTTTCAGCTTTTATCTGTCGAAATTGGTGCCAAATGGCGAAAGGAGCAAGTTGAGACCTCACATTTTTTTACAAATAAAGACATTGATAAACTTATTAATGAAACTGAAAGTGCTGTGACTAATGATTTAGAAGGTAATAATTTATTTACTTGAATATTCAATATTAATTGTGACAAAAATCGAAAATGAAAATTTTTGCATAGCTTTACGTTTCAAAGAGTTCTGAACATTTTGGCATACCTTAGAAAAAATGGATGTATGTGCGTGTGCGTGTGTGTGTGTGTGTGTGCGTGCGTGTGTGTGTATGTATGTGCGGATACAATTTTTCGTTGACGATTTCGGGAACACGGATCAACCGATGTGAATCGTTCAAAAAACATTCGATTTTTATTGTTAGGGAGATGTGCTCATTAGTTTTTGGCAAGGGCAGGTCCAGCCGTTACGGAGATACGGAGCAAAAAGTGCAGAAAATAGAAATCTAGTTTTTTAAAGAACGGAGCGTCCGATTTGAATGATTCGAAAAACATTTTATTTGTATTTTTGGGAAGGCAGGTCTAGCGGTTTTGGAGTTTCAATAAAAAAGTGAAAAAATGCGGATAAAAATGATCATTAGACATGTGCACATCAAACTATCAGATATTTTATAGAGATTTTAATAATGTGTACACATTTTGTGTCATTTTTTTGGGTTCCGTACCAAGATTTTTAATTGGTTCAAACAAATGTTCTCGACATTTTCGACAATATGCCCCGATATAAAAATTTAGAATAAAACGACTTTGAATTCGATATTTCATTACTCTTTGGAAATGAATAGAAAATTCGGGACATTTTTTTGGTTTTTGTCAAATAACTCACAAATATCATATGAAAGCACCCCCCTTTTCGGTTAGATAGGGAGAAACTAGATAAAATTTACTACGATTCCATGCCAACAGTTATATACAGCCCGATATAAAAATTCTGAATAAAACGACTCTGAATTCGATGTTTCCTAAGATGTATGTATAATAAGCTCGTTGCCAAATGTAATAGGCAAATATGAATTTATAATGAATAATTTATTTGAAATTATTTAAAACAGTTATTGACTATTTTCATTCCTCGAATGTTTAATTACGGTATGGGAAGTTCCAACAATTTGCTTTAAGCCACGATGCCATACACCACTAGATTTTTGTTTTTGAGCATCGGATTTTAATTTTAATTCTGGCTAAAGTTCTAAAGCTCACTTATATACTTTAAATGAATAATTTTAACTTTGCAATTCAGTTTATATAATTCTTATAAATATTAGACAATGTTATAGTATTCACAATAATCTATTTGAAAATATTCCTCGAAAATTTCGTTACG